CGCACACACTCGCCCTCCGCCTCGCCCGCACCCCCGCGCACACACACACTCACACTCGCTCACCCGCGCCGGGCGCCCGCCCGCCAGCCGGCCGCCCCGGCTACGCACAGCGCGCGGGCTGAGCCGACATAGAGGAAGCTGGCGAGGGCGGAGGCGGCGGCGGAGGCGGCGGCGGTGGCGGAGGAGGAGGTCGCGGCTGCAGGCGCCGCTGGAGCCACCGCCTCAGGGGCTGCGGCGAACGCCGCTGGAGGAGCCGGGGCCGAGGCTGGAGGCCGGAGTCCGAACCGGAGCTGGGGTTTCACTTGGAGTGCAAGCTGGGGTTTGAGCCGCCCGCGCCGCTGCCGCTGTCCCGGCGAGAGCCCTAGCGGGGCTCGGGAGTGCGGAAAGCGCGGGGAGTCGAGCAGGGCGCGGGGCTAGGCTGCTGGCGGCGATCAGGGCGCGCGGGTGTCTGGGGGCCAGGTCCAGGGCCGGACGCAGCCAGCCATTCAGGAAGGCAGCGCTGGAGAGCGGGAGGCAGCCGGCGACGAGGATCACACACTTTGCTCTTTTTGTTGTGCCGGTGGCGCCGGGCTCTCGCTGTCTTCTTCTTTCAAGAGGTGACGGAAAGGGGAGAAAAATACGGGATAATTCACGCCGGCGACGAATTCACAGCGAAATAGAAAAATAAAAATCAGAGGAAAAAGAATTGGAAAAAAAAAGGCGAGAGAGACATCCAAAGTAGGTCGAATAAATAATCCTCTTCTTTTCCTCTTTCTTGCTCCTTCTTCTGCTTCTTCTGCTATAACACACAGTGCTAGTTAAAAAACCCTGGAGATCGCCCAAAAATGTTCTTTTTTTAGTATTTTAAATAAGTGCTCTTCAGTCGGGAACCAACTCCCTCCCTCCAAAAAAAAAAAATATTATATATATATATATAAAATAACGATAAGAAGACTATGAAGGGAGTGTCTCTTCTTTTTTTTTTTTTTTTTTTTTTTTTAAGTTTAGACCTCTCTCTTGTGCAAGAATGGAGTAGAAGAGACAGGAGGAGGGAAAAAGAAGAGAAAGAGGGAGAAGAAGAATAAGGGGAAACAACTAATAGAATATGTAAGAAAGGAGAAAGGGGAGAGAGGCGAGAGGGGGAGAGTAGAGAGAGGGCGAGAGAGGAGAGAGAGAGGAGAGGGGAGAGAGAGGGAGGAAGAGAGAGAGGGGGAGAGAGAGAAGAGAGAGACCCAAAAATTGAATGCGTTTAAACGGGAGGACTCGCAGAGCAATGTTTCCGAAAGGGGGATCTGCGCGAATGTCTGTATATAGTGAACTTTGACACTACTATTGAAACTGACACGTTTCTATGGAGATCGCTGCCTTATATGGAGCTCGTGTCAAGGAGCCAAGAGAAGGGCTGCTGGCAACTGATAATCAAAGGCGACTGACTGGTCAGAGCCCTGAATCGGGGGGTAAGGGGGGGGAGAGAAAATGGGAGGCTAAGGTTAGCCAAGCCTCCCGCACGCCATTGGTTGGAGAGCCCCTCCCCCATCTCTTTTTCTTTCTTTCTTTCTCCCCCCCCCCCCCCCCCCGCCCCTTAGCTACCTACTGACTGGGATGCCTAGGGGAGGAGGAGAGAAAGTGAGGGAGGGGGGTGTGCTTCTGACAAGCGCAATTTACATTGAGATCGCCTTGCTCTGCTATTTACTCTGAGACCTGATTAGTATGGGTCGTCTATAGTCACACACACACACATACACACACACACACCCCTAGAGGGGGAAGGGATGTAGAGGGGGAGAATGCATTGCGATGGGCGAAAAGAGAATTAGAAGGAAATTATTTTTATTTCTTCTGAAAAGTTAAAAAAAAATTAGATTGTATAGAGTAAAGAGTGTCACTGAGAATGTTAGGGGAAAAGAAATAACGGGAACGGAACCCCACTATTTTAATGATTCGTCAAGTACGCTGGGTTTGAATTGTTTCCTCAAGTCTGGCTTTTGCTCATTTCCTTCTTAGAAACAACGTAGGGCTTTCCTATTTTTTGGCCCAAAGTACATTTGTTTTATAGGTTTAAACATGACAAAGCACAGTCCTGGAACTTGCAGTTATGACTACAAATCGGATGCGAAGCAACGGTTTCTACTCATCAGAAAGATAATTTTTTTAAAAAATGAACTTTTATATCAAATCCCTCCCTCTTATTTTTGTGTCCTCAGGCTGTTCTAAACTCCAAACAACGCTCCAGTAATTATTAAAACACAAGTAAGTCCTCATTTTCTTGAGACGTTAGTGCGGTCAAGTCAGGGTCTCAGGGAAAGAGGGAGAGGTAGGCGAGAAGAAGAGGTAGAAAGGTAGAGAGGTAAGGGGTAGGTCGAGGGAGAGACACAGAAAGAGACAAGAGACAAACTGAGACCTCCATTCCCGAAGGTGATTGGTCACAGGAGGAGGGGCCGGCGGGAGGAGCGGGTCCCGCTGCGGGGCCTGCTGGAATCGCTGGCTCCGGCTGCCACCTAGCGGACGGGAGTCGCGCCCTTGCGGCGCACAGCCGAGTCCCTCCTCCCCTCCCCACAGGCAGCCTGTGTCTTTTTTCCAAACGAAGACAGCACTTTGAAAATTCTTTCAATGGATTTTTTTTTTCCTTGAAAGATCGTACTGGGGGGAAATGATACTTCTATTAGTTGCATGTTCTCCAATCGCACACTCGCACACCCCTCGTTTAGAGCTCGTTCCCCAGGCAGGCTCCGGCAGGCGCCGGAGAAGCACTGAGTGACAAAGCCGCCACTGTTACCGCTGGGGGTAGGAGCGGCGTTCAGCGGTCCGCCTGCCCCTGGACTCGGGAGAGCGTAAAAGTTTGTCTCAGGTCGAGCATCCCGAGCTCCAACACGCCCTCAGGTAAAGGTGGAAATAAAAGACCAAGCAGCATTGACAGAGGTAGGGCTTGTTTTTAAATATTGGTTCTCACTTTAAATCTCACTGGGGAGGGGTTAGTAAGCGCTGAGTGTTTGGGGTGCATTTTACGCTTCCCGGTCTCTCCAGCATTCAAGTCGTGAGCAGACGACCACCTAGTGACGAGCAGAAGCGATGATTTTGAAAGAGCAGAATAAAGGCTTTCCCGTGCCTGTCCCCCAGACCCTCCAGCTCGAATAATAGAGAGATTGTCAATGCACTCCGCTAGCAGCGGCCCATTGTACGCTGCTGATGGAGAGGAGGCGAGTAGGGGCTACAGGAGCGCCTCTTTCTCACCCCTCTCCTCAAATAAATGCGCTCAAGTCGTTTGGTCAGTTAAAAGGTGAAACAACACGATTAAAGCAGACCCCTCCCTTCCTCTCCACCGCCCCCCCCCCAAAAAAAAAGGCAAGCTCTTAATGTACAAATTCTAAATTTTATTCCCCAGACTGAACAGAGGCTGGGAGTCGAGAACAGAGGAAGACAGGCAGGGAGAGAGGGAGAGACAGGGAAAGAGCGCGGAGAGACAGGAGCGTGTAGGACAGGAGGCAGAGCAGGAAGAACGAGCGAGCGGCAGGGAAGCGGAGGTCCGCTGGACACCCAGTCCGTGGGCCCAGCCAACCTCGGACCCTGAACCGTGCGTCGTGGACACCAGAAGCAAGACTCAACCAAGTCCTGTCCCAACCAGGCAAGTAATATAAAGATTGTCGTTTCTTTTGAACTAGGGGTTGGTAATGCGGGCAGGCCGGGAGGCAGCTTTGGTTTCTACGGTCTCCATCGGCCGCGACCGGGAGTCGATGTAGCCAGGGAGGGATGAGAACTTTCTGCGGGGCCTGGCCACAATCTGCCCTCGCTCGGCCTCTGCCCCTCAGCGGCGCAGAGGCAGCGATAGCAACCGCAGCGCAGCTGCGGAGGTGAGGATGCAGCCAGATGAACACCAGCCCAGAGTCCTACAGGACCCCCACCCCCACCCCATCTCCAACCTTGTGGTTCCTCTATCCCCCAGCCGGAACTGCTGCCAGACCTCCAGTTTGTGGAGGGGAGGGGAGGGGGAGAAAGGCTGACCCGTGCGTTTTACAACCCCTTTTCCGCTGTGCCGAGCTCGAGCCGCGGGGGAGCGAGCTGTGAAACCTGGCCCGGTGAGCCTTGTCTGCTGGCCGGCCGGCTGTGCCAGGGTGGCTTCTGCCGCCCACCTGCGGGCGCCGTTTGTAATGAGATCCCTTAACGTAATGCGATCCGTGGATGCCTGTTAGATGTGGGCGATAGTGTTAGCGGATTAAAAGCGAATCCAAGCCTTTCTTCCGAGCGGGGAACCCGCAGCGGCGGGAGCTAGCGGGCACTGGGGCCAGACTGAACAGAGGCAGCGGAGCCGGACTCTTCGCGTCAAGGCAGGCGACTTAGGGCGAGGAGGGGGTCGCCTCCCAGGGGTAGGGACCGAGGGTGTGTGTGAAAGAGCTTCAATTAAAACCTACAAGAGCGCTTTCCTCTACATTGGGCAGAGGCGCGCGTTTGCGTCAGAGGGCGCGCAGGGAGGGCGCGGGGGCGGAGGCGGGGGAGCTGACGCCGGGGGCCGTGCCCCGGGGCTAGGTGAGCTCCGGAATGAGGCAGTCTAGCTTAGTTAGGGGTCGGACGTTGCAGGCAAAGGGCAAGACGAGGCGGGAGAACGAGTTAAGCCTCCCCGGGAGCGCCAGTGCCCACACACCCTGGCTGTGGGCTTCTGCCCCTCTTCCCAGCTTCCAAAACTTGGGAGAAACCCCTGGGACGCTGCTGACTCGGGAAGTGGGGAGCTGGGCCCTCGAGATCCCAGGCAAAGTTGCTAGTGCCTCAGGAAGGGAGGGAGCGGGTTTGTGTGCCTGGAGTAGCGCGCTCTCCTGCACTACTTGCGCATCAACTTTCTGTAGTGAGAGGGGGCGGGGAGGAAATACTTTTTTTTTTTTTTTTTAAGGAGGGGAGCTATTTCCCCTCAAGACTTGTACCGGGGGAAAGGAGCTTAGATTCAATTCCTCCGTCCAACCCTGTGTTCCCAGACTGTGACTGAACACATGCAGAGCGCCCCCACTTGTGCTAACAGCCCACCGCCCGCAAAATGGCTTGTGTGAGGGAACTGAAGGGGCAGCCCAGGTGCTGGAGAGCGCTGGCTTGCTCTCTACCAGGTTGTTTGTTACTGGTCCAACTTGGTATACTCGATCCTTGGTTCCACCCTCAACCAGGAGTTAATGGTATCTGTTGTTGTTGGTTGATCATATTTTGCGAGGGCAGCTGGGTTCTCACATTTTGTGAAGCTTCACACATGTGTCCAGGAACCTCAGCTGCACGAACAGGGAAAAGTGGTTGCAGTTTCTTCTCTTCTCCTACCCATCCTCTCTTCTCTGGATGTTTCTTCCCTTCCTGGGTCAGGCACTTCACCCCACAACTTTCAACTGAGTCACAGCACGTGGACTTGGTTCTTGGACCCAGACTCACTAAGGTTCTTACCTCAGTAACCATCCCTCTTGCCACGTGGGTTTGACTCTTTCTAACTACCTTTGTGATGCCACTCTGGGGAAAAGGAAGGACCTCACTAGGGCCTGGGTTCGAACCCCAGGGCCTCTCTTCTTGTGTCTCCCTGTGCCCTCCTGATACCCACAGGCCTGTTTAGTGAACATGGGGTCTTCAATGGAGTTACCCCAGAGGGATTAGGATACTCCTCTGCTGGAGAGAGAGAAATCAGGCAGTATGCTACAAACAATGCCCCTTGTGGACTGCTAGCATCATGGTTCAGCGTTAATCACTTTTTAAAAGACCTACCACACAACACTTGATCTCTCTCAGCCAGATAGCCAGTAAACAGTAGTGACCTAGTGGGGGGAGAGAGAGAAGCAGATATCTGTGATCTGTGGCTGCATACAGCGCTGACTTACCAGGCCCCAGAGTCCCATCTAAGCAGGCGTTCTAACCAATTAACAGCAGACTTTCTTACAACGAAAACGGAACTATTCTTTACTAATCCTATAACTCGTATGTTGGTATTTTGCTCTTCTGAAACTCACCCACCCAATCATTCATTTTGGCTTTTTGGTAAGTTTCACTGAACAAAGGTAGTCTTGTGTAAAAAAAAAAATCGAGTTCAAAAGCTGTGAGACACTACACATGATTAGATAGGTATAAAAATTGTCTTTCTTCTTTTCCTTACGCTTAAATCATTAAAAACGATATTATTCTGTTTAGAAAGAACATAGACCAAAAATATTCCCCCCCTTTAAAAAAAAAAAAAATCAAGCCCATCTGGAGAGATGAACACGCCTGCAATCATTGGGCGAAAGGTCAGTTCCTCTGATCTTGCTGCAGACCTTTCCCAAAGAGCTTATTTTAAAGGTGCCCCGAATCAATTAGTTTCCCTTGGCATGAGATTAAGGCCAGTAAGGAACGCAGTTGAAGAAGATGTATTTAAAATGGTTTTACACAGATCTTTTGAAGGAAAGATGGGGGTGGGGTAGGTTGGAGAGAAGAGAGACACAGGAATGTCCATCTGACGTCTAAACAATGCTTAAATTAAATATTAAATGTTAAACACACACACACACACACACATACACACAAAACCGTAGCCTATCTCATAAACAGCCCACTCCTTCCAAGATTGAATTTAGTCTGTATTGTGCCCATCCAGCTATAAAAGTTCTGCCTTTGTTAGTATGAAAACAAAGGTGGAAAGGCCAAGTTGGAAGTCTGCGCTTCTGCTGGACCACCAGTTCCTAGACTGCTCACGTGGTTGAACCTTTAAGTCCAGCAGGCCTGTGAGCTCACTATCACACTCTGGTAGACCAGGCATTTCTTGTCACCTCTAGGTTGAAACACCCAGAGATAAGTGCAGACATGCTTTACCTTAGTCAGCGATTTAGTTTTCTATCACAAATCGTCCACTTAAAGCACATGTTTGGGAAAAGAGAGATAAGGAAAACACTTTCCCCTTCTGCCCGGGCCCCCAGTTAGAGGGCCCAGGAGTAACATAGATGCGAGGGCTGCTGGAGAATAGTGCTGACCTTTGAATGCAAATCAAGCCTTTTTAGAGGAGGCAAAGTGACAATCATTCCTAGCACACTAGTGAAGCCAGGACCAAATATTTACTTTTTTGTAAAAATCAAGCCTGGCTATCTAAATGTATTTATTTATTCAAAAAGAAAGAACTGGAGACCTTTATGTTGCCAAATGTGTTTCTTTATTTTAAATGCTTAACTTGAAGAATAACTGCATGGCTGTTCTTCCCAGCAGAAAAGGGGTTGGGTTTGGATGAAAAGTTGAAGTTTTTAAATGAGTTTGAAGGTTACTAGAGTACCCTGACAATAGAATCAACTGTACTATATAATCAGTTCCCTTAATAGTTACCTGTCAGAACACCTATTTCGTTTACTACAGGATTAGCCCATCAGAAGTAAATCTGAGTTGGACATTTCACTGACTAAAGACTGCTCAAATATGTTTAAGTCTTTAATGTCACTGTCTTCACTACCTAGAAGATAAAGTAATGGAAACGTATTGGCTAGCAAAGCCAGCAGGTCTGGTAACAGGCTGCAATTGTATTTATCTATCATTATGGTGAATTAAATAATAAACTCAACATTTTCTCCTAAACTGTCAGCAAAAAGATATGTTTATTACAGTGTCCTCCATCAGTGAATAAAGAGAGGATTTAGGTAAAGTTTGAAATAAAAAGAATAAGCATAGTACACCACTGATGCAAACTGACCAGAGCAGTAAATAATTCTCCCCTTTTATTGTGTTATGTATATCTTATTTACTCATTTCAGAAGTGGAAAATAAACCTAGCCCATCTCCTGGAGGAGTTAATAAAGTATTCCAAATGCATGATCTAACAAAACTCGAGGATAGTTCTATGTTTTATTGTTAACCCCTTGCATGAAATCTTCTGAAGCTGAAAAGAAAAAGGAAAGGGCTTTTGTGTTAGTTGATCCTTGGCTATTCTAGGGCTCAGGTTGATGTGAATGGGATGAGGAGGTCACTTGAAATCTCCTTTTATCTACTCTTATTTTCTCTCTGGATCAGCAACTTTGAATAGGCATCATCTAATCGCTCTTAATGGAAAGAAACTATGGGAGCAAACGAAAATGCCTTTACTCCAGAAGTGAATACATGTGTGCAGACAGCTAGCTGAGCTTGCATAGCACTGCATCACTGATACATGTGCTTAATGACTTTTGGGGTGCATGGAAGTATTTACATAAAGGTTTCACATACATTCTGGGGGATCTGCTTGGGTAGGTATGTTACTCTCACACTTCAGTATGCACACACATCTACATGAAGAGTTTCTAGCATGGCTAGGTGCTATTTTCAGCTGTCCTTTTTTTCCCAGCTTTGTCTTCTTAGTCTCTGGGATGTCATATTGCAGTCTTGATAAAAGGCAAATAATTGAGAACACGATGGACAATCTTTTAGTGAAGACATCTCATTTTCTTTCCATTTTCAATGTAAAGTCCCATGGACAGGAGCATTTCTCTTCAGAGGGTAGAGATTGTGTGACAGGTGGGAGGTGATGAGGTAAAACAGAAACCTTTACTTTCACTTTCTCCTCAAGATGTTTTTCTTTTTGTCTTCCTTCCAATTAAATTGGTGAAAATACATTAAGTAAGTTGAAAACAATAGTCTGACATTAAACATTTAAAAGTTTTTTCTTGCTCTAGATACATATCTCTGAATTCTTGAAGCTGAGCAATTAATTACAATTTATTGAAATTAGAACTATTATAGTACATTTTATATGCTAAAATATCATCTCCCTTAGGCTTTGTTATATTAACTTCAAAAGAGAGACCCCTTCCCCCAGGGTATTAAATATGACTGGTAATTCCAAAAAGGACATTTGATTTTTAAGACTGAAAGCACTGGGTTTCACCTCCTAAGAAGTGTTCCCTCCCCCAAGTTCTCCTAAGTAATATTCGTCAAATTGCTCACAGAGCCTGGGACACTTCGCTGTAAATTCCTTTAAGGGAATACTTGGTTGTCAAGGCTACAAGTTCCCATTTCAACCTGTCATGTCTCCCCCCCTTCCACCAGATTTCTGGGATTCTTGGTTGTCAAGACTGGAACCTTGAACACCCCCTCATCACCTCCTCTTTATGCATCCCCCCCCCAAGTTTACGGGAGATGCCAGTTCCAAAGTTCGAGGTTGGATGGGGAGATTAATCCCTCTTTAACTCCTCTCCTTCCCGCCCTCAATTCTGAATCCCAACAGATCTGTTTCCCCGGGTTTCCTGGTGAATAGGAGCGTAGGAGCCGCCCTGTCCAATAAAGATTAAATTAAGTAGAAGAATCCCAGCCGCTGGATATTCGGAAGCTCCGGTGGGGCGTCAAACCGACGTTTAACACATTTTTTCCACTCACTGTGCATAAATCCTGGACCTGTTGGATTTAACTTCAGAAAGGAAGGAATAAAGAAGGAGATAAGGAAGAAAGGAGAAAAGAAAGAAGATAAAAAAGCAAAGACAAAGTCATAGGGAAACCTCAGTTTTAAGGGGGAAGTGGTTTTGCGCTCAGAGCCGCTGAAGACAGTTTTCTTTCTCAGAACCATTCACGAGTAAAAGGCTCCCTTCTCCCACCCGGGGCTCAGAACTTTGCTGTTCTTGCGGGTTTGACTTTACGGGACGGTGGCTCAGGGTGTGGGGCAAGAGGCGCTATCATAATCCTGTCGCCTTCTCTGTGTTGACTTTTTTTTTTTTTTTTAATTCTAGGTTTTAGTAGCATGAATTGAGCAGTTTCCTTCAGTGGCTACCCAGCAGGAGAAACAATGGCTTTCTCTATAGGCACTCAGCTCACTGGACACTGACCTTGTAGCTGAGGCTCGGCCAGACGCTCCTAGCCAGGTAGCCATTTCGGTCCAAAAATATGGATCCCTTAATCTCATCTGCTCCGCTAGTCCCTGCGCGCAGTCAGGAGGGGCAAAAGGCAAATCCCTTCGTGGCAACGACTCGTCCGTGCAAATACAACACTGAATAAATTAACCTCAAACCAGCTAGTTGGGGTGTAGTAGTTTAGCAGGACTAATTGCAGACAATGGAGCTGAAATGACTTTTCCAATTAGCTGCTGGTTGGAGTTTAGTTGGAGGAACTGTCAGCTCCAACGATGGGTAATTGCTTTATTGCTCACAAAACTATCATCTATTTAGAACATATGTGCTAATTACTCTGGATGGGCGTCGAAAAAGAGACCATAAATCTAATAGCACTTTAAAAAGTCTGTTGGACTTGTAAGCAACCTTAGTCCCTTGCATGCTCTCTTCTGCTCAGGTTGGCTTGATGGATGGCTGTCTTTTAGGACTGGGAAGGTTTGTTCTGGAGGTGCCGACAGGATGCTCTGGTCAAATCGCGTGCTGGAGAGGTAGCGTCCCGGCGCATGCTGTGCAGGGGCGATAAATCACTGTCATCAAAACCAGTCCCCTCTTTAGTTGCGCACTTTTTTTTTTTTTTTTCATTTTCGCGAAAGATTACTTCAGAAATCTTTTAATTGGATTATACTGGGAAATTAATCTCCTTTAGCCTGGGCTAAATTTATTGTGGCCAGCGTCAGGAGGAAAGCCTCACACCTGCAGCGAAGGCCAAGTCTCCTTGCTCTCTTCTTTCCTTAGCCCTCCAGGTTCTCCCAGCTGTATGCTGCAGCCGTGCCCCAAGTCTTTTTGCCTCTGAGTGGTTGGGTTAGGAAAGGTGGAAGCACACTTAAGACCGACAATGAATCCTCTTTGTCCTATGCTCCACATTTGTATCCCGGATTTCCTAGTTCCCTATCCGATATCCCTACAGTACCGTTTCTTCAGAAATTCTATAGGCACTCCCGATGTATGGGGGTCTGCTACTGGAGGAGGTTAAAGTGCGGGAACAGGCGATGGGGTGTGGCTGAAGAGGCCTATCGGCTGAAATTACATTGGCCCTTGTGCCCCCTTTTCAGAGACTTTGGGCCTTGCGAACAGTCTCTACTAGGGTCCTACTTTTCTACGCCAAACCGCACAACTCACTATTGGAGTTTTCTCTGTTACAACTCTGGGCACACTTCCCTTTGATGTGCCCAGCGATGGAGGTTCAGGATCCTGCCTCTCGTCTTCCTGGCTCCTGGAGCACGAGAGCAATGCCAGGAGGCGACCTTCCCTCCAGCACGAATGCCTCGCCTCTTCGTCTAGGTCCAGTGTGGCTTGGGCAGCCACTGGAAGCTGCAGGTCTGGTCCCGCCAGCCTAGCCTCTTAGCGGGAGGTGACAACATCTGCCTGAAACGGGATACCTACTTTTGCAGCTCAATTTAGCTCTTAATAGCAGTCCTCTGAGGTGTGGTTAATTGATGGGATAAAGGCGTAATGACTTGATGTGAAGACGCCAATGATCCTTTAATATACCTTTAAAAGAACAACTACCACCCCAAATACCAGCGAATCATGGCTGGGGAAGGGAAAAGGGCTGGAAAAGCCACACTTGTGCTGTTTGCACCTGGAGACTTCAGTGCCGGGTGAGCCCTGGCTTGAAGGACTTGGGGTTCCCGGGTGCCGCCAGGGCGCGCAGCTCAGGCTGGGAGGGGCGGTCGCGCGCCCACAGAGATCGCGGCGGGACAGAGACCCGAGTGATGGGCTGACAGGTGGCTCTGCGGACTGGCGGGATGATCTCCGTTCATCTGCTCCGGTCATGTTCCCTCCACCTGCCAGCCATCCCAGGCCAAAGCAACTTCGCGTCCAGCAGGAGCGAACTGGCCAAGTGGCAGTGCTCTGGCTGCGGGGATTCACTGGGTCCCGCTGTCTGGACAACCTCAGAAGGGTCCCAGCGGCAGGCCAGAGAGGCACATGTGTGATCTCTCTCTGTCTCTCACACACACCCACACACACAAAACGTACCGGCGTTGTGTGTGTGATATCACCCTGAAACGCGGAGCAAGACCACGTGGCCCAGATTTCTTTGGGCCCTGGTCCGACGTTGGGGCCGAACACACTAGGGCTCTGCTCACCTAACTCTCCGCCCTCAGCGCTGTCCTCAGCACCGACCCTTTCTCACTTCTATTGAACTCTTCAGAAGGCCAAAGGCGCGTTTTACGCGGCGGCGCAAGCCTGAACATGGGTTCACAGAAGCCCGGAAAAGAAAAACAAAAAAATGCAGGAAAAGTCTTTTCTGTTTGTAAAGGGGAATCCCCTCCGGGTGCAGGCGCAGCATCCCTTGCAGGTCTGGCGAGCCTCCTGGCGAGCAGGTTGGCGAAGGATAACCTTGTTGTTACAGGTTCGAGCTCCCTCTGGAAGCGGGAGGAGCAATGACTCCAAGGCACCGTCCCTATTTTATAGCATTTGAACAATCGCAGGTGTTTCAGTTGGTGCTATTGTCTGCCTTCCTCCCTGAGCTTCTAACAGGAAAGAAAAAAGTTCCAAGAAACTTTGTTTCTCCACAAGTTATGGCGGATAAAGAGTACATTGTCAAATGACAAGGGAGCCTTTAGGGTCAAGGGTTTTAAAACAACGCGCAATTAAGAGTTCTAACTCGCCGCGTGCGCCTCTCACACGCAGTGTGATTTAGTTCTTCCGCCATCACTGTCTAATCTCATCTAGTGTACTTCTGTCCTCCGTTCATCACTAGGAAATCAAGATTCACTGTCAGTTAGCCATCAAGCTCGGAGCCCTCCTCAGCACGGACAGGGGAGGACGAAAAGCTGGGCTCCAAGGCCAAGGCCTAGTTTCTGGGCGCCAAGGCCTGGGTCCAGATTCACGTCCCAGTCGGTAACAAAATGTTAAGACGCTCTCTGCCTGGAATGGAGTCCGTAACTTTGGCGGCAGGTCCTCCCTAGCTCGAGGCTTTCTTAAAGGCCTGAAGCCTTTGGACCGTCCGGGTTATGAGGTGCCAGTTAGTGGCGCCTTGTCCACCTGGGGCTGCGTTGTTGGCGTTGCAAGTCCGCAGAGGGCACTAGTTCGAAGTCTGGATCCTTCCCCTCGGTAGTCAAGGGCCCTCACCCTCAAGTATCCCCTCAAGTGCTTAACTCCTCAAAATCACATCCTTGCGAACGAATTCTCCACCCTGCGAACTAGGTTTCCTCGCAGGGTTTCCCCACCACCACCCACCCCTTCTCCTGTTTCCCTGGAGGCCAGAGTCCAACCCCGCTCACGGTCTTGCGGGGCGCAGCTCCGGAAGCGAGGCCCACATCCGGGAACTAAGCCTAGCGATCCGAGCCGCGGTCGCTCACTCCCTCGACGGAAATGAACGCCCTGCGTGACCAGGGGCCTAGGCCTCGAGATCCGCTCGCGCCAAGACCTCGTTCGACTGCTAGGGGCTGGGTCAAGGCCTTTTTTGCACACTGCAGGCTCGGACTGCAGGAACGCTTTAGTGACAAAGCACGAGGGAAGGCTCAAGAAGGAAGCAGGGCCCGACCGGGGGGTGGCGCACGCTCCTCAAACCCCGGCTTTGCGCCGGCAGTTTGCTTCCCCTTCGGGTCGGCGCTTGGATAGACCTTAAGAGAGTGTGAGCCGATTCCTTCCCAGTCCTTCAAGGTTCATAAACCCACCGTCTAGCGAGCAAAGTCGCCCTTGCGGGTCTCTGCATTTCACTTCTCTCCCTATACTGGTGTCTCTCTCTGAGCCTTGCAGCAGTTTGAGTCCGCTGAACAGTTTGCCTCGCTTTGGGCAGCTGACCGACCCTCTTGCAGGTGTTGGATCGGGTGTGATAAGGACCAAGACCTGGAGCACGGTTTAGGTTAGGGAACTCCAAACCCGATTTTCTTGCTTAAGGGGAAGCTAGATCTTAAGTCGCTGAAATGTCATTGAGAATTAAGTTTGTGGCCTTGGGGCAGAACAGCACAAACTGCTGTGTCGCTCTTATAAAAAGATCTTGGGAGAGTGTATCTCGAGAGTTTTTCCAGAGATTGCTTTATAATCACTCAAATTAGAGTGTTGGTACGTATCTCGTCACCAGTACACTGAAAAGTATCTTCCTTCAGACAGGGATTGAGGAACGGAAATACCATCACCCTCCAGCCAAACTGTGCGAGGACTGATTGCAGGGGAACTGGGGCTCCAGATGTTTCACTAGAGGCGCTGCAAGTGTGAGCAGGTAATGTGGAGACGAGTGACATTGTTAACAGCATCTAATTAACAATGACTTCATTTGATTGGAAGGATGAAAAAGCCTTTTTAAGTCAATCCAGATTCACTGGCCTAAACTCAGCCAATTTATGAATATGGAGCCTGACTGGGTCTGCTTTCTTTCAAAGATGTCATCTTAGGGGTAATAGCATAGGTGAAGTCATTTGGTTACACGGTGGAAACTTTTATAGTGCCTTCCTTGGGAATTTAATTCAGTGCTTCTTCATTTTATTAAGAACAGACTGACTCCATCAACTGTGCTCTCCCTATTTAGAGACAGGACTGCTTGAAGCAATTAGGTCCACCAATTAGCATAGTTTTACTGACCCCAGCAGCAGCACTCCTCCTTAGATTGTCCATTTCTTCAAAGTCAGAGACAAACTGGAGCACAACATGCTTCCCAGGTGCCCAGGTTGGAGAAATAAGCCCACAAGCAGGGTAGCACAGCAGGACAAAAAACTTTCTAATAGTGTTTGTTTCATCAGCTTTGGTGGATTTTTTTTTCCCTCCCTTTTTCTGATTCTGGATCTTATAATTCGCCCTCACTTAGCCTTTCAAACGTCTCTCCTTTGGTTGCATTTTGTTTGTAAAGAAAGTGAATTTTCTTCTTTTCTGTCCTGCATGCTAATGACGCTGTGGAAAATGCTAGGTCCTGAGA